GCGGGCCTTTGATGCTAGTGGGCGGGCCTTGATGATGCTAGTGGGCCCATTGATGCCAGACGGCTGCCCATTGATGCCAGTGGGCTGCCCATTGATGCCAGTGGGCTGCCCATTGATGCCAGACGGCTGCCCATGGATGCCAGTGGGTGGCCCATTGATGCCAGTGGGCGGCCCATTGATGCCAGTGGGCCCATTGATGCCAGACGGCTGCCCATGGATGCCAGTGGGCTGCCCATTGATGCCAGACGGCTGCCCATTGATGCCAGTGGGCGGCCCATTGATGCCAGTGGGCGGCCCATTGATGCCAGTGGGCGGCCCATTGATGCCAGTGGGGGTGGCCCATTGATACCAATGGGCTGCCCCACACACGATGCGTGGGAATGCGCAGAAAGAAGTCCCTGACTCTCCCGAAAACGGGGTTGGGGTGCCATTAACAATCCATGGCCCGCTAAATGGCGACGCGTTTCGGTGCTTGCCAGGAAAGTGCGCAATTTTGCACGCGTTCCCAGGTAACGCAAACCTAGCCCGTTTTCCAAAAACGGCACCATGTGGTTTGGTTGGCAGATGTACGTAACAATGGCACCGCCGTGCCTCTGCTAAATGGCAACGCGTTTCGGTTCTTGCCGGGAAAGTGCGCAATTTTGCGTGCGTTCCCAGGTAAAGCGAACCTAGCCTGTCTGTTTTCCAAAAACGGTACCATGTGGTTTGGTGTTGCAGATATACAAAATCAATGGGACCGCCATACGTCTGCTAGATGGCAACGCGTTTCGGTGCTTGCTGGGAAAGTGCGCAATTTTGCGTGCGTTCCCAGGTAACGCGAACATAACCTATTTTCCAAAAGCGGTACCATGTGGTTTGGTTTTTCAGATGTACGAAACAATCAATGGGACCGCCGTGCGTCTGTTAAATAGCAATGCGTTTCAGTGCTTGTGGGGAAAATGCGCAATTTTGCACGCGTTCCCAGGTAACGTGAACCTAGCCTGTTTTCCAAAAGTGGCACCATGTGGTTTGGTTGGCAGATCTACAAAACAAGTAACGGAACCGTCGTGCGTCTGCTAAATAGCAACGCGTTTCAGGTCTTGTGGGGATAGGTAGAAATGTCAGCCTAGCCTGACTTTTTTTTTTTTTTTTGCGCATTTCCGTGCGTTTTTTCACCAGTTCTCGCCTTTAGGGAAGTCCATTCATTTCAATGGGCCGCCCTACACACGATGCGCGGGAAGACGCAGAAAGAAAACCCTGACTCTTCCGAAAACGGCCTCACGAGGTTTGCAGATGTGTTGGGGTTCCATTAACAATTCATGGCCTGCTAAATGGCAACGCGTTTCGGTGCTTTCCGGGAAAGTGCGCAATTTTGCACGCGCTCCCAGGTAATGCAAACCTAACCTGTTTTCCGAAAACTGCTTCATGAGGTTTGGTTTGCAGATGTGTTGGGTGCCATTAATAATTCATGGCCCGCTAAATGGCAACGCGTTTCAGTGCCTGCGGGGAAAGTGCGTAATTTTGCACGCGCTCCCAGGTGATGCGAACCTAGCCTGTTTTCCAAAAACGGTACCATGTGGTTTGGTTTTGCAGATCTACAAAACAATGGGACCGCCGTGCGTCTGCTAGATGGCAACGCGTTTCAGTGCTGGCGGGGAAAGTGCGCATTCCTGATACGTAGAAATGGCAGCCTAGCCTGACTTTTTTTTTTTTGCGCCTTTCTGTGCGTTTTTCACCAGTTCTCGCCTTTAGGGAAGCCCATTCATTTCAACGGGCCGCCCTATTAGCAAGAAGCCCGGAAAAGAGGTCGGTTCATACCTCCAGGTGCGACTCATGCGGGCGCGTTCCCGAGTGTCGCGTGTGGGGCACCACGAGATACAAATGGGCTGCCCCACGCACGATGCGCAAAAAAAAGGAGTCCCTGGCTCTTTTTTTCCCAAAAACGGCCTCTTGCAGTTCGGTTTGGTTTGCAGATGTGTTGGGGTTCCATTAGCAATTCATGGCCCGCCTAATGGCAACGCGTTTCAGTGCTTGTGGGGAAAGTGCGCAATTTTGCACGCGTTCCCAGGTAATGCGAACCTAGCCTGACTGTTTTCCAAAAACTTGGTGAAAATCTGCAGACGGGCTGATCTGTGTCGAACATTTGTGAACGCAGCCCAGGAATGGCACAGGCACCGGGATTTACACGATTGTGTCATCTCCTGAGCAAGGTGAGAGGCTGCAGCAGGGGGCTGATCTGTGTCAGACATTTGTGGACACGGCCACCAGGATTTCCATGAATGTGTTATCTCAGAGCCGGCATCTCACTCTGGGAAGGAGGTGGTGACCCTGGATGATGCCGGAACAAAGATGGCGCCGTCCTTCCGGGGGGGGGGGGGGGGGGTTTGGTGAAGGGATACCCAGGGGAGAGGCCTGCGATCTCTGAGCATGCGTGGCCTTGATGTGGGAATTCTATGTAATGACAGGTCCACTTTAATAGTAGCTTGTACATGGCGGACGTTCCCTTTAAGAAATGGCGCAGCGCCCGATGGCTGACACCGCGTCCCTGTACCGTAGCCGCGTCCTTGAACGCCGGCCTCTATCTCCGAGGATCCATGATGGCTTCACACTCCGGCCCCTCCCAGGTTTATCCGGATGGGGGGGGGGGGGGGCTGACAGCTTCCCTGATATCTCCCAGGAACGTGACACCATTAAGAGCCTCCGTGTCACATCGCCAACCTGCAAAGAGGCCGCGCTGCTGTCAGAGGCTGGAAGGGGCCCCCAGGGGACCTCGTGTGCACCGATGAGTCAGGGAAGGAGAAGACGCTACAGATTCACCACCACAGTCTGCAGACCCAGCGATTCTCTGCATCTTTTATTAACCAATCGGAGCCTGCGGGGTTCCCACCCTCCCAATTTAAAGGGGAACTCCGGCCTCCCCTCCAGTCTGGCACAGGTGTACCAGCTCCTCCCCTCCAGTCTTGCACAGGTGTCCCGGCTCCTCCCCTTCAGTCTTGCACAGGTGTCCCGGCTCCTCCCCTCCAGTCTTGCACAGGTGTACCGGCTCCTCCCCTCCAGTCTTGCACAGGTGTCCCGGCTCCTCCCCTTCAGTCTTGCACAGGTGTACCAGTTCCTCCCCTCCAGTCTTGCACAGGTGTCCCGGCTCCTCCCCTTCAGTCTTGCACAGGTGTCCCAGCTCCTCCCCCTGGAATGAATCGTCTTCCTCTGATGTCACCGCACACTGGGAGCTTCTCACAATGTGCATTAGTAGCTGCAGCCAATCAGATAGAGCTCCGCCCAATTTCCTGGCTGGAGGACGTCCAGCATCATCTATCCCTTTCCTCTCCCAGCCTGACTGTCACTGGCCCCGCCCCTTTCATTTGGATTTCAGTTCTTTCCGTCACGCAGGCTCAGTATCATATGTGGGCGTTACCTATGCAAATGTAGCCTGCCTAGGAACGCCCACTCCTCCAGACTGACACCCTCCCAGTTTGATATTTACATAACTCCTCCCACTGCTTGCATTGGGGCTGCGGCTCTGGAGAGGACTGAGGTAGGGGGCTGGGATGTTTCCAGGAGGCTGTGTACAGCCCCTCCCACCAGCCCTGATCTCCCTGCATTGCACAGAGAAGCACAGAGACCCAGTGATGACATCACTGGCTCTAATATAATGTATGCAATGAAAACAGCACCCTGCCGGCACCACCCACCGGCCAGGATCTGCCTGCATTGCATATAGAAGCACAGAGACACTATGATGACATCACTGGGTTTAAAATAAGGTATGTAATGAAAAGAGCACACTGCTGGCTCCTCCCACCAGCCATGATCTGCCTGCATTGCATAGAGAAGCACAGAGACCCAGTAATGACATCGCTGGGACTATAATAAGGTATGTAATGAACACAGCCCCCTGCTGGCCCCTCCCACCAACCACAATCTGCCTGCATTGCATAGAGAAGCACAGAGATCCACTGATGACATCACTGGGTCTAATATAAGGTATGTAATGAAATCTGCACCCTGCTGTCCCCTCCCACCTGCCACAATCTACCTGCATCGCATAGAGAAGCACAGAGAGCTGATGACATCACTGAGTTTAAAATAAGGTGTGCAATGAAAAGAGCACGCTGCTGGCTCCTCCCACCAGCCATGATCTGCCTGCATTGCATAGAGAAGGTCAGAGAGCCAGTGATGTCATCACTGGATCTAACTACGGTAGGTAATTAAAACTGCACCCTGCTGTTTACCTTCCTGCATTGCATAGAGAAGCACAGAGACCCAGTAATGAGATCACTGGGTCTAAAATAATCTGTGTAATGAAAACAGCACCTTGTTGGGCCCCCCCCCCCACCTTCCGCAATCTGCCTGCATTGCATAGAGAAGCACAGAGACCCAGTAATCAGATCATTGGGTCTAAAATAAAGCATGCAATGAAAACAGCACCTTGCTGCCCCCCCCCACCACAAATCTGCTTGCATTGCATAGAGAAGCACAGAGACCCAGCTTTGACATCATTGGGTCTGCAGTAATCCAGCGGGAGACTTCCTGTAATAAAGACCTCTCACTGCTGCAGGGACTGGTCTTGTCTCCGCCCCCTCCTGTACTTTTCCGGGGTGGGTGAAGCCTATCAGGCCCCTCCCACAGCTGTGCTCCCTGCACAGCACAGCGATGATGTCACTGCTACTTTTACAAGGTAATATCTGGAGCTGTAAAGGCGTTTGGTGCTCACAGAGAGGATTTGTATCCTTTGTGGTGGTTGAGGAATAGATTTATTTGAAGGTTTTTTCTGCGTGGAGTTCCCCTTTAAATCTGCCCCTGGGAGCGTTCCACCGCCCCTATATATATACAAGAGGCACTGGGCCGGAGTTCCCCTTTAATGCCATTGTGGTGATGCGACCAGCTGGTGCGGTTCTACTGGTACCCGAGTCCTAGAGGCGGGATCTGGTGCCGGGAATACGGAGCGCTTGCTGTTCTGATTGGCTGCCACGACGCCCCCGGCAGGCAAACCCTTCCCATTGGCCGCAGAGCTGACGATCAAACCTTCTTGTGTTACAGGATGCCTGGCCACCGACACCGAGGAACGTCTGGTGGAGTACCTGCTGAACCCGGGCCGCTACAACAAGCTGATCCGACCCGCCACCAACGGCTCGAACAGGTCACCGTACAGCTCATGGTGTCACTGGCCCAGCTCATCAGCGTGGTAAGTCACAGGGGCAACATGGCGTTCCGGGGGGGGCATTGGGGGTTCAAGACCTCTGATCGGGGGGGGGGGGGGGGGCAAGTACTGGGGCGCCCTAGGAAAGGGTGGGGCACCTTACATAAAGAGTCTGCCACCTATAAAGTACTAAGTCGCCCTAGAAAGGAGTAGAGCACCCTAAAACCCCTCTTGATATGGGGAGCCTCTAGTGTGGCCCCGACACCACCAAAGGGCCACACATAAAAATGCAGTGAATATTCAGTGCAGACACACAACAGGATATATAGTCAAAGACTAAGGGATACAGGAGACAGTCAGAGACTGCAGACACAGTACAGGAGATGACCAGAGACTGTGGACATAGTACAGGAGATGACCAGAGACTGCAGACACAGTACAGGGATGACCAGAGACTGCAGACACAGTACAGGGATGACCAGAGACTGCAGACATAGTACAGGAGATGACCAGAGACTGCGGACAGCACAGGGGAGGACCGGAGACTGCGGACACAGTACAGGGGATGACCAGAGACTGCGGACATAGTACAGGAGATGACCAGAGACTGCAGACACAGTACAGGGATGACCAGAGACTGCAGACACAATACAGGAGATGACCAGAGACTGCGGACAGTACAGGGAGATGACCAGAGACTGCGGACACAGTACAGGGATGACCAGAGACTGCGGGACACAGTACAGGAGATGACCAGAGACTGCGGACACAGTACAGGAGATGACCAGAGACTGCGGACACAGTACAGGAGATGACAGAGACTGCGGACACAGTACAGGAGATGACCAGAGACTGCGGACACAGTACAGGAGATGACCAGAGACTGCGGACACACAGTACAGGAGATGACCAGAGAGGTGGCGGACACGGTACAGGAGATGACCAGAGACTGCGGACACAGTACAGGAGATGACCAGAGACAGCGGACACAGTACAGGGATGACCAGAGACTGCGGACACAGTACAGGAGATGACCAGAGACTGGGACACAGTACAGGGAGATGACACAGTACAGGAGATGACCAGAGACGTACTGCGGACATAGTACAGGAGATGACCAGAGACTGCGGACACAGTACAGGAGTATGACCAGAGACTGCGGACATAAGTACAGGAGATGACCAGAGACTGCAGACATAGTACAGGAGATGACCAGAGACTGCAGACATAGTACAGGAGATGACCAGAGACTGCGGACACAGTACAGGGGATGACCAGAGACTGCAGCCGACATAGTACAGGAGATGACCAGAGACTGCGGACACAGTACAGGGGATGACCAGAGACTGCGGACATAGTACAGGGATGACCAGAGACTGCGGACATAGTACAGGAGATGACCAGAGACTGCGGGGACACAGTACAGGGGATGACCAGAGAGACTGCGGACATAGTACAGGGGATGACCAGAGACTGCAGACATAGTACAGGAGATGACCAGAGACTGCGGACACAGTACAGGGGATGACCAGAGACTGCGGACATAGTACAGGAGATGAGATGACCAGAGACTGCGGACATAGTACAGGAGATACACCGAGACTGCGGACACAGTACAGGGGATGACCAGAGAGACTGCGGACACAGTACAGGAGATGACCAGAGACTGCGGACACAGTACAGGAGATGACCAGAGACTGCGGACACAGTACAGGAGATGACCAGAGACTGCGGACACAGTACAGGAGATGACCAGAGACTGCGGACACAGTACAGGAGATGACCAGAGACTGCGGACACACAGTACAGGAGATGACCAGAGACTGCGGACACATGATACAAGAGTTGGTCAGAGACTACAGATATGCTGCAGGAGATTTTCAGAGACTCTGAACATGCTATATGAGTTGTTGGAGACTGAGGACATGCTTCAGGAGACAGTCATAGGCGATTGACAATATACAGGTAGAGATGAGCCAATTGGTTCAAGCCAGCCTTGGTTGGAGAAGCCTCTTCTTGGCCATATACCATCATAGATAAACCAGTCGGTTCAACTCAACCTTGATTTCTCTAATCTCTAACAAATCTGAGGAAAGAAGTTTCCTGTGGATGGCCTACGACGTACCATGACCTCCTTGCAAGCCGGTAGAAGGATCTCCTGGGCATTTCACAGAGTGGCTGCCAATTGAGGTGGGTTCAACCCAACCTTAATTGGAAAAGCTTCTTGACCTTCAGACAATATACTGCTAGAGGTGAGCAAAGTCGTTCAACCCAGTCTTGGTTGGAAAAGCTTCTTGGCCCTCTTGGCCATATACCATCATAGATAAACCAGTCGGTTCAACTCAACCTTGATTTCTGAGGAAAGATGTTTCCTGTGGATGGTCTATGAGCCCCATGACCTCCTTGCAAGCCGTAAAAGGATCTCCTGGACATTTCACAGAGTGGCTGCCAATTAAGGTTGGTTCAAACCAGTCTTGGAGTCTTGGTTGGAAAAGCTTCCTGGCCCTCTTTGGGTGATCGCAATATGCTGGTAGAGATAGGCCAATTGGTTCAATCCAGTCTTGGAGTCTTGGTTGGAGAAGATTCTTGGCCCTCTTTGGGTGATGGTGATATACTGGTAGAAATGAGCCAATTGGTTCAAGCCAGCCTTGGTTGGAGAAGCCTCTTGGCCCTCTTAGAAAATATACGAATGTAGATAAAACCAGTCGGTTCAACTCAACCTTGATTTCTTTAATCTCTAACAAATCTGAGGAAAGAAGTTTCCTGTGGATGGCCTGTGAGCCCCATGACCTCCTTGCAAGCCGGTAAAAGGATCCCTGGGCATTTCGCAGAGTGGCTGCCAATTAAGGTGGGTCCAAAACCAAACTTAATTGGAAAAGCTTCTTGACCTTCAGACAATATATTGCTAGAGGTGAGCAAAGTGGTTCAACCCAGTCTTGGTTGGAAAAGCTTCCTGGCCCTCTTTGGGTGATGGTGATATACTGGTAGAGATGAGCCAATTGGTCCAAGCCAGCCTTGGTTGGAGAAGATTCTTGGCCCTCTTTGGGTGATGGTGATATACAGGTAGAGATGAACCAATTGATTCAAGTCAGCCTTGACTGGAAAAGATTCTTGGCCCTCTTAAAAATATACCATCGTAAATAAACCAGTCGGTTCAACTCAACCTTGATTTCTCTAATCTCTAACAAATCTGAGGAAAGACGTTTCCTGTGGATGGCCTGTGAGCCCCATGACCTCCTTGCAAGCTGGTAAAAGGATCTCCTGGACATTTCACAGAGTGGCTGCCAATTAAGGTTGGTTCAATCCAGCCTTGGAGAAGATTCTTGGCCCTCTTAAAATATACCAACGTAGATAAACCAGTTGGTTCAATCAGCCTTTGATTTCTCTAATCTCTAACAAATCTGAGGAAAGATGTTCCCTGTGGATGGCCTATGAGCCCCATGACCTCCTTGCAAACCCGGTAAAAGGATCTCCTGGGCATTTCACAGAGTGGCTGCCAGTTAAGGTTGGTTCAACCCAGAGTCTTGGTTGGAAAAGCTTCCTGGACCTCTTTGGGTGATAGCAATATGCTGGTAGAGAGAGGCCAATTGGTTCACTCCAGCCTTGGTTGGAGAAGGTTCTTGGCCCTCTTTGGGTGATGGTGATATACAGGTAGAGATGAGCCAAGATGTTTCCTGTGGATGGCATATGAGCCCATGACCTCCTTGCAAGCCGGTAAAAGGATCTCCTGGCATTTCACTGTGCCGATTACGGTCTTGGAGGAAGTAACTGGAGGTTGGAGCTGTCTTTGGGAAGCATCAAGTTTGCATAATTCCCTGTTTCACCTAAAATGTAGGAAGCAGGCAGATGACATTTCATTTATCACGAGGGCTTGAGGACTTTTAGGTAGCAAAAAAGTCATCCATGACCCATACTGTGAGGTTGTAGCAGAGAGAACTAGGAAATCGCACTAGTTCTTGGACCCCACTGACTTATGAGGGATTGTCAAGTTAACTGGCCTGGAAATCCAAGCTTCTGGTCACGAATGGGTTCATTTAGAAGACCTGTCACCATTTCCCCAGGAAGCCCCCAAAGCCAGATACAGGGAAATGTGATACTTAATGTGCTCCTGATGGGGTTTTTTTTTTATGTATTTTGTTCTATAATGATGTGGATTTACGTAATCGGCTTCTCTTTCCCTTCCAGCATGAACGGGAACAGATAATGACCACCAACGTGTGGCTGACTCAGGTAAACCTCTCGTTTTTGTAAATCATTACGAATTATTAGAACGTTTCCTTTGGCCGTCTCCGCAGATTCCTGCCGTTTTAGCGGTCGTTTTCCATGTCCCGGAAAGGTGACTGCAGGACGCAGCGAGGATAGTCACCTGTGATGCAGCTCCCTGAAGACACCCGTCTTCTGCTTTTTGTATCGGTTATATAATTGTCCTTCAGCGCTGCAAGGAGAACCGTCCTCTGTGCGGCTTGTAATTCTCCCGGCGCTGAAGGCAGAATCACTCCACGCATTTTATCTCTCGGTCTTTTTTCCAGACAATTCCTTCGTAATCTGATTTAAGAGGATTTGTAATCCCCTTTGTACTTCGTAATGTTTAAAAAAGATGGAGGTTTTCATGTTATCACTCATCTTAATAGTAGCGGGCGGGCGGCTGATGTCTGTGATGTGCAGGATTAGGACCGATTCTCAGATGTAAATTCCTTTAACCAACTTCTTCTCCTCCAAAGGAGACAGGGGACATTATGCTCCTTTGGAGAGGAGATTTGGTTTACAGCACGGGTGTCAAACTGGCGGCCCCACCAGCTGCTGTCAAACTACTACCACCATGATTTAGACCCAGGGAGTGGCTTAGCATTTCTGGGATGAGCTCAAATGCACCATCCATTACTTTAGGATGAAATGGAGAAGATTAGATTGTTGGCCAGGTCTGTAGACCTCCACTTCTGGTCATGGAGACCATAGTCATTGCTGTAAACCAAGGGTGTCAGCTGTTGCCAAACTACAAGTCCCATGAGGCCTTGCAAGATTGACAATTACAAGCATGACTCCCAAAGGTGGAGGCATGAAGGGACTTGTAGTTTGGCTGGCAGTTTGACACCCTTGGTTTGCAGCAATGACTATGGTCTCCAAGACCAGAAGTGGAGGTCTACAGACCTGGCCAACAATCTAATCTAAAGTAATGGATGGTGCGTTTTGAGCTCGTCCCAGAAATGCTAAACCACTCCCTGGGTCTAAATCATGGTGGTGCTGTTGGAACTGAAATTTGTTGGTTGGAAGACCGTTTTGTGCTCACTGTGGTGCTGATGTTCATGACTCTCAAAGGTAGAGGCATGAAGGGACTTGTAATTTCGCAACAGCTGGAGGACCACCAGTTTGACATCCTTGGTTTACAGCAATAACTATGGTCTTCAAGACCAGAAGTGGAGGTCTACAGACCTGGCCAACAATCTAATCTAAAGTAATGAATGGTGCGTTTTGAGCTCGTCTTAGAAATGCTAAGCCACTCCCTGGGTCTAAATCATGGTGGTGCTGTTGGAACTGAAATTTGTTGGTTGGAAGACAGTTTTGTGCTCACTGTGGTGCTGATGTTCATGACTCTCAAAGGTAGAGGCATGAAGGGACTTGTAGTTTTGCAACAGCTGGAGGACCACCAGTTTGACATCCTTGGTTTACAGCAATGACTATGGTCTCCAAGACCAGAAGTGGAGGTCTACAGACCTGGCCAAGAATCAAATCTAAAGTAATGAATGGTGTGTTTTTGAGCTCGTCCCAGAAATGCTAAGCCACTCCCTGGGTCTGAATCATGGTGGTGCTGTTGGAACTGAAATTTGTTCGTTGGAAGACAATTTTGTACTCACTGTGGTGCTGATGTTCCATAACTCATTCATCTTTCGCACATTGCTGAGGTTTCAGCTCTAGTTATTGATTCTTGAAATCGATGCCTTAGAAAGGGTGGACACCTCTTCGGTCTTGCCGGTACTCAAATGATCCCCTGACACACGACGTTGCCCTTCTAAAGGTCTCTTTTTTTTCTATCTTCGTTTATACCGATTTCCGAGCCCACACTGCTACAACAAATGGCCATTATCTAAGAAGGCTTGCTAGCTTTGAAATGTCCAGAACAGCTGCCCATCATATCTGCCCAGTTCATATGGACTTCACAAAGTTCCTCTAGATGGTGACATTGTCTTAACTCTTCTTTCACTTCAGGAATGGGAGGACTACCGGCTGACGTGGAACCCTGCCGAGTTTGACAACATGAAGAAAGTGCGTCTACCCTCCAAGCACATCTGGTTACCGGATGTCGTCCTCTACAACAAGTAAGTGCACCCCATGCAGAGTCATACCTTACAGGGCTACTGGGAAGAACTTGAAGTAAGAAACCCTACAGCTACCAAACACAAGGGGTTTTTGTTGTTTTTTAAAGCTGTATGATGATTAATGTTTCTCCATGGTATGCCAGATGTATGACCATGAATGGTTCTCCATGGTATGCCAACAGTATGACCATGAATGTTTCTCCATGGTATGCCAGATGTATGACCATGAATGTTTCTCCATGGTGTGCCAGCTGTATGACCATGAATGGTTTCCACGGTATGCCAGCAGTATGACCATGAATGGTTTCTCCATGGTATGCCAGATGTATGACCATGAATGTTTCTCCATGGTGTGCCAGCTGTATGACCATGAATGGTTTTCCACGGTATGCCAGCAGTATGACCATGAATGTTTCTCCATGGTGTGCCAGCAGTATGACCATGAATGTTTCCCTATGATATGCTCGCATTATGACCATGAATGGTTTTCTATGGTATGCAAGTTGTATGGCCATGATGGTTTCTCCATAATATGCCAGCAGTATGACCATGAATGTTTGTCCATGGTATGCTCGCAGTATGATCATGAATATTTCTCCATGGTATGCCAGCTGTATGACCATGAACGTTCCTCCATTGTATGCCAGCTGTATGACCATGAATGTTTCTCCATGGTATGACCATGAATGATATGCAAGTTGTATGTTTCATGATGGTTTCTCTATAATATGCCAGCAGTATGACCATGAATGTTTCCAGCTCCATGGTGCCCAGCTGTATGACCATAAATGTTTCTCCATGGTGTCCCAGCAGTATGACCATGATGGTTTCTTTATATGCCAGTAGTATGACCAGTAGTATGACCATGAGTATTTCTCCATAGTATTCCCAGCTATATGACCAGGAATGCTTCTCCATGGTATGAATGATTTATCCCATGGTACTCCAGCTGTATGACCATGAATGTTTCTCTGTGGTATGCCAGCTTTATGACCATGAATGATTCCAGCTCCATGGTGTGCCAGCTGTATATTATCATGATGGTTTCTATATAATATGCCAGCAGTATGACCATGAATGTTTCCCCATGGTATGCCAGCTGTATGACCATGAATGTTTCTCCATGGTATGCTCACAGTATGACCATGAATGTTTCTCCATTGTATGCCAGCTGTATGACCATAAATGTGTCTCCATGGTATGCCAGATGTATGACCATAAATGTGTCTCCATGGTATGCCAGATGTATGACCAGGAATGTGTCTCCATGGTATGCCAGATGTATGACCAGGAATGTTTCTCCATGGTATGCCAGCAGTATGACCATGAATGATTTCTCCATGGTATGCCAGCAGTATGACCATAATGTGTCTCCCATGGTATGCCAGATGTATGACCATGAATGTGTCTCCATGGTATGCCAGATGTATGACCAGGAATGTTTCTCCATGGTATGCTCAGCTGTATGACCATAATGACTCCATGGTGAATGACCATGAATGTATGGTATGCCAGCAGTATGACCATGAATGATTCTCCATGGTGTGCCAGAGTATGACCATGTATGACATGTGTCTCCATGGTATGCCAGCTGCCAGATGTATGTATGACCATGAATGTTTCTCCATGGTATGCCAGAATGTATGGTACCAGCTGTATGATGTTTCTCCATGGTATGCCAGCAGTATGTATGCCATGAATGAATTCTCCATGGTATGCCAGATGTATGACCATGAATGTGTCTCCATGGTACGTCAATGCCAATTGACCATGAATGTTATCCATGACCAGTGTATGACCATGAATGTTTCTCCATGGTATGCCAGCAGTATGACCATGAATGATTCTCCATGGTATGCCAGCAGTATGACCTTGAATATTTCTCCATGGTGTGCCAGCTGTATTATCATGATGGTTTCTCCATGGTATGCCAGCAGTATGACCATGACTATTTCTCCATAGTATGCCAGCTGTATGACCTTGAATGTTTCTCCATGGTATGCCATATGTATGACCATGAATGTTTCTTCCATGGTATGTCAGAATGTTTCTCCATATGACTATGACCATGAATGTTTCTCCGTGGCTATGACCATGAATGGTTTCCTTGTCTGCATAGCTGTGGTCCTCTACCATGAATGGTTTTCATGGTATGCCAGCAGTATGACCATGAATGTTTCTCCATGGTATGTGCAGCTGTATGACCATGAATGTTTCTCCATGGTGTGCCAGCTGTATGACCTGAATGTTTCTCCATGGTATGCCAGCCTGTATGACCATGAATGTTTTCTCCATGGTTGTTTCCACCGTGTATGACCATAAATGTTTCTCCATGGTATGCCAGCTGTATGACCTATTAATGTTTTCCATGGTATGCCAGCTGTATGACTTCATGATGGTTTCTATGAATGGCCAGCCAGTATGACCATGAATGTTTCTCCATGGTATGCCAGCAGTATGACATGAATGTTTCTCCATGGCATGCACCTGCCATGACCATGAATGTTTCTTCCATGGTATGCCAGCTGTTGACCATGAATGTTTCTCCATGGTGTGCCACAGTATGACCATGAATGTTTCCCCATGGTGTGCCAGCAGTATGACCATGAATGTTTCTCCATGGTGTGCCAGCAGTATGACCTTGAATATTTCTCCATGGTGTGCCAGCAGTATGACCATGAATGGTTCTTCATTGTCTGCCAGCTGTATGACCATAAATGTGTCTCCATGGTATGCCAGCAGTATGACCTTGAATATTTCTCCATGGTGTGCCAGCAGTATGACCTTGAATATTTCTCCATGGTGTGCCAGTAGTATGACCTTCAATGTTTCTCCATGGTATGCCAGTAGTATGACCATGAATGTTTCTCCTTGGTATGCCACCTGTATGACCATGAATGTTTCTCCATGGTATGCCAGCAGTATGACCGTCAATGTTTCTCCATGGTATGCCAGCTGTATGACCATGAATATTTCTCCATGGTGTGCCAGCAGTATGATAATGAATGTTTCTCCTTAGTATGCCACCTGTATGACCATGAATATTTCTCCATGATATGCCCACAGTATGACCATGAATGTTTCTCCATGATATGCCCACAGTATGACCATGAATGTTTCTCCATGATATGCCAGCTGTATGACCATAAATGTTTCTCCATGGTATGCCAGCTGTGTGACCATGAATGTTTCTCCATGGTATGCCAGCTGTATGACCATAAATGTGTCTCCATGGTATGCCAGCTTTGTGACCATGATGTGCACGTCTGACAATTACTTAACAGAAGTTAAGTGAAAGATTTGAACATTTCTGAGCGCAGGAAACCGCGGAGAGGGCCGTAATAAACCATATGAGTAAGAATGTCTAGAATTACATCTTTTTTTTTTAAGGATTAGGAAAGTAGTTAGGATGGTTTTAAGGTCAAAGAGCAATTCCATGAGAAAGCAATTTACGACAGTTGGATCGGAGTTCTGGTTGGCTCTGGGTTGGCGTACTGTACATTGCTCTTTGCAGGTAACCAACACTTGCGCTAACCTTTTCTGTCTCTCGGCAGTGCTGATGGCATGTACGAGGTGTCCTTCTACTCCAACGCAGTTGTGTCATACGATGGAAGCATCTTTTGGTTGCCTCCAGCCATCTACAAGAGCGCCTGTAAAATAGAAGTCAAGCACTTCCCTTTCGACCAGCAGAATTGCACCATGAAATTTCGCTCATGGACTTATGACCGAACTGAGATTGACCTCGTGTTGAAGAGCGATGTGGCTAGTCTAGATGACTTCACACCTAGCGGTGAATGGGATATCATCGCACTTCCAGGGAGGAGGAATGAGAATCCAGATGACCCTTCCTATGTAGATATCACCTACGACTTCATCATCCGTCGCAAACCTCTATTCTACACCATCAATCTCATCATCCCGTGTATTCTGATCACGTCACTGGCTATCCTCGTCTTCTATCTGCCCTCGGACTGCGGAGAGAAGATGACTTTGTGCATTTCCGTCTTGCTGGCTCTCACTGTCTTCTTGCTGCTGATTTCCAAGATTGTGCCACCCCACCTCGCTCGATGTGCCGCTAGTCGGCAAGTACTTGATGTTCACCATGGTTCTGGTGACCTTCTCCATCGTGACCAGCGTCTGTGTGTTAAATGTGCACCACCGATCCCCCACCACACACACCATGCCACCATGGGTCAAGGTGGTGTTTCTAGACAAACTGCCCACTTTGCTGTTCATGAAGCAGCCCCGGCAGAACTGTGCCCGCCAGAGGCTGCGCCAGCAGAGGCAGAACCAAGAGAGAGCCACGGGGAGCTTCTTCCTCCGAGACAGCGCCAAATCTTGCACCTGCTATGTCAACCAGGCCACGGTGAAGAAATACGGGGGGCAGCTCCCCGATTTACCCGAGGGGGTCAACGGCTTCCGAGATCGGCAGGGGGAAAGTGCGACAGTGTCTCTGTGGCCTGGAGGAGGCGGTGGAAGGGGTGCGCTTCATTGCCGATCACATGAAGAGCGAGGATGATGACCAGAGCGTAAGTAGATCGTTACAGAGGTGCTCATTTTACATTTTGGGTGCAATGAGGAGCGGTATGACCCGACATTGAGTCTTTACTGTGTTCCGTGACATGAACACGACAATCTCCCCCATGCCTTGTCCCACTGCCAAAGGCAGAACCCCCACTGTGACCCAAACTTTGTGCTTCCTCCCTCTAGAGGGCATTATTTGTATATATTTAAGGAGATTCCACTAGGGCAGATGACCCCAGAAATATGGTTCCATAAGTACATGGTCACTGGCCCTAAGTGGATTTTGCACAGGATTTTATGGGGTCTTTTGGAGTCCCCCACCCACCTCCTTCCACCCAACAATCGTAGAGTGCTCGCCAATTAAATAACTGCAATTTGATTAAACCCAGGTAGTCTGAAGGCCAGTTCAGGTCAGTGATCATGATGTCCTTCAGCCTCTAGATTAGTCAGATGGAGCTGACTGACAGGGAGTTAGGTTTAGAGGGTCAGAGTTATGGCTTTAGGGTCCAAATTAGGGTTTTAAGTTTGAATTTTAGTGTAAGTTTTAGGATCGGAGTTAGGGCTCTGCTGTCAAAATTAGGGTTTAAGGGCCAGAGGTAGGGTTCTAGAGACAGATTTACTGCTTTAGGACCATAATTAGAGTTTTATGGCCAGAGTTATGGTTCCAGAGCCAGATTTACTGCTTTAGGACCACAATTAGGGTTTTAAAGCCAGAGTTAGAGGTTTTAGTGTCTAAGTTATGGTTCTGGAGCCAGATTTACTGGTTTAGGACCATAATTAGGGTTTTACGGTCGGAGTTAGAGGATTTAATGTCAGAATTAGGGTTCTAGAGCCAGATTTACTACTTTAGGACCACAATTAGGGTTTTAGGGTCAGAGTTAGGGTTCTAGAGCCAGATTTACTGCTTTTAGGACCACAATTAGGGTTTTAGTGTCTGAATTAGGATCATAGTTAAGGTTTTAGATTTTAACTTAGAATTTTAGTGTCAGAATTAGGGTTTTAGGGTCAGAGTTAGGATTATAGTGCCAGATTTACTGCTTTAGGGCCACAATTAGGGTTTTAGGGTCAGAGTTTGGGTTCTAGAGCCAAATTTACTGCTTTAGGACCACAATTAGGGTGTTAGGGTCAGAGTTAGAGGTTTTGGTGTCAGAGATAGGGTTCTGGAGCCAGATTTATGGTTTAGGACCATAATTAGGGTTTTACGGTCGGAGTTAGAGGATTTAGTGTCAGAATTAGGGTTCTAGAGCCAGATTTACTACTTTAGGACCACAATTAGGGTTTTAGGGTCAGAGTTAGGATTCTAGAGCCAGATTTACTGCTTTAGGACCACAATTAGGGTTTTAGTGTCAGAATTAGGATCATAGTTAAGGTTTTAGATTTTAACTTAGAATTTTAGTATCAGAATTAGGGTTTTAGGGTCAGAGTTAGGATTCTAGAGCCAGATTTACTGCTTTAGGACCACGATTAGGGTTTTAAGGTCAGAGTTAGGGTTCTAGAACCAGATTTACTGCTTTAGGACCATAATTAGGGTTTTAGGGTCGGAGTTAGAGGTTTTAGTGTCAGAGGTAGGGTTCTAGAGCCGAACTTACTGCTTTAGAACCACAATTAGGGTTTTAGGGTCAGAGTTAGGGTTCTAGAACCAGATTTACTGCTTTAGGACCATAATTAGGGTTTTAGGGTCGGAGTTAGAGGTTTTAGTGTCAGAGGTAGGGTTCTAGAGCCGAACTTACTGCTTTAGAACCACAATTAGGGTTTTAGGGTCAGAGTTAGGGTTCTAGAGTCAGATTTACAGCTTTAGGACCACAATTAGGGTTTTAGGATCAGAGTTAGGGGTTTAAGTTCAGAATAAGGGGCTTTGGGGTCATCGTTAGGGCTCTAGAATCAGAATTCGGGTTTTACTGATAGAGGCTAGGGTTTTAGATGTAGAGCTTTAGGATCAGAGTTGGGGTTTTAGGGGCCAAATACAGGGCATTAGGGTCACAGTTAGAGCTTTAGAGTTAGTCATTGTTTTAGGGACAGAGTTCAGGCTTTAGGGTCAAAATATGAGGCTTTAGGGCCAGGGTTTGAGGTTTTAAGAGACAAGAGTTATGATTTTTTGGATTAGAGTTTGGGCTTTAGTGTCGGAGTCAAGGTTTTAGGGTCAGAATTAGTGCTTCACTCCGAACCCTTGGGAGCGCTTTTGATTAAAATGCAGCTTATTGCTGTTTTGGCTTAGAGGCGGCTGTGACATAACCCCGTAGCTCTAAAAATAGCCATTTGTGACAAATAATGTAGATCAGAACTTCAGAGGAATGTAGAAACGGACAATTCATTTACTCCCGACTTTGCACCTTGCAGGTCAGCGAGGACTGGAAGTATGTTGCCCATGGTGATCGACCGCCTTTTCCTCTGGATCTTCGTCTTCGTCTGCGTTTTCGGGACGATCGGCATGTTCCTGCAGCCCCTCTTCCAGAACTACACCACACAACACTTTACTACAACTGAATCACGCTGCCCCCACCACCAACTAAGGCTGGCCAGGGCGGGGGGCCCACACACCATGCTGCAACCTTAACGTTACCGAACTTAGTAGGACGAAGAAAGAGAAAAACATGGATGCCCTTCCAGCCAAAACTCTGTTTAGATAACTTTTAGGGAACCCAGGATGGGCAAGAGATTCCCCCTTCCCTAACTTTTACGGAACCCGGGATGGGCAAGAGATTCCCCCTTCCCTGACTTTTACGGAACCCGGGATGGGCAAGAGATTCCCCCTTCCCTAACTTTTATGGAACCCGGGATGGGCAAGAGATTCCCCCTTCCCTAACTTTTATGGAACCCGGGATGGGCAAGAGATTCCTCCTTCCCAAACTTTTATGGAACCCGGGATGGGCAAGAGATTCCCTAACTTTTACGGAACCCGGGATGGGCAAGAGATTCCCTAACTTTTACGGAACCCGAGATTCCCTAACTTTTACGGAATGGGCAAGAGATTCCCTAACTTTTACGGAACCCGGGATGGGCAAGAGATTCCCTAACTTTTACGGAACCCGGGATGGGCAAGAGATTCCCTAACTTTTACGGAACCCGGGATGGGCAAGAGATTCCCTAACTTTTACGGAACCCGGGATGGGCAAGAGATTCCCCCTTCCCTTCCCAAAAGCCACCACGAAACGATGGAGACCCTGCCAAGACCTTGAGAACAGACCCTTGCACGTTTTAATTATCCTTCATGGCAAAGCGGCGGCTTCGGAAAGTGCAAGAGGTCGTCTAAAAGGGGGAAATCACTACTTCTTTTTTTTTTATTTTCAAGCAATAAAGCACGACAGAATAGCTGTATCCAAAGCCATGAGGTCTCCACCCATACAACGGGACCATCTCCATCGAATATGGTCCCCCACCCGGGGTGGCGTAGAGAGAGCAGGCCTCACCCAATGGCGACTTGCGTTATGACCGTGAACACAAAATATTTATTAATATGCACTGAACTATATAGGAATGTGTCCTGTAAAAGATTTATTATGCAGATTTTATGATTTACTTGAGCTTCTTCTTCCCCTCCCCCCGTACTTTCCCGTTTTTATTTGTGTCCACCTTCACGGTTGCGATTAGGAATATTTTTTGCACCAATTGTATTTTAAGATAAAAAGGTTGAAAAAACAAAAATAGTAGTATGCTTGCAGGCTGGCCCAACTCTCACCCACGCACTTACGCTGAGCGATATATCCCGCCCAACCTCATTGTTTGGCATGTCATGCCATCGGGAATGCCAGGACTTGGGACTGAACTGTAGCGGTATTCCAAGGACTGTAAATTTTATTTTTAAGATGAATTTTTTTTTTTTTTTTTTTTTTTTTATTTATAGACGAGAAGCACAACGCTGTGCCCTATATAACTGTCTTACACTCCTTTATGAATCGACGCCTTCTGTCTCTCCTAGCACCAACTCTCAGGGGTCGGGCATACACTGTTCACTGCTGGTTCTCATGTAAAAACAAAAAAAAATTTGTATCAAAAAACTTGTCACTAGTCGTTTCTTTGTTCCTCGTTGGCTGAAATATATAAAAATGGTAAACTGGGTGCAGATGTTTGGAGGTGGATAGTATATGAGGCATGGAGAGCAAAGATCAACCAATCACCTCCATAAATTTGAGGAATAGAACTCTTGGGTTTCTCCAGAGGTTGATAGGGAGTTCCTTGAGCTTTGGGTAATTGACATCCTATCTGATGGTGTTCTCATAGTCCATGGCCACCTTGTAGACCAATAATGTGACACCCATGATCATTGACTGTAAGGGGGAGGCCTTCTCCAAAGGTTGATAGGATGTCAATTACCCACAGCTCAAGGAACCACCTATCAACCTGTGAAGAATGCCCCCCCCCCCCCCCCAATTGGTGTCACATTATTGGTCTTCAAAGTGGCTATGGACTATGGAGACACCATCAGATAGGATGTCAATTACCCAAATGTCAAGGAACCCCTCTTACAGTTAACTAAAATGATCATTGGTGCCACGTTACTGGTCTTCAAAGTGGCTATGGACTATGAAAACACCATCAGATAAGGATTTCCTTGAGCTTTGGGTAATTGACATCCTGATGGTGTCTGCATAGTCCATAGCCACCTTGTAGACCAGTAACGTGACACTGATAATCACTTTAGTTGACTTCTCCAAAGGTTGATAGGATGTCAATTACCCACAGCACAAGGAACCACCGATCAACCTGTGAAAAATGCCCCCCCCCCCCATTGGTGTCACATTATTGGTCTTCAAAGTGGCTATGGACTATGAAGACACCATCAGATAGGATGTCAATTACCCAAACTTCAAGGAACCCCACTGAAGAATGCTCCCCCTTACAGTCAACTAAAATGATCATGGGTGTCACGTTACTGGTCTACAAGGTGGCCATGGACTATGAAGACACCATCCGATAGGGGTTCCTTCAGCTGTGGGTAATTGACATCCTATCGGATGGTGTCTTCATAGTCCATAGCCACTTTGAAGACCAATAACATGACACCAATGATCATTTTAGTTGACTGTAGGGGGGCATTCTTCAATGGAGTTCCTTGAAGTTTGGGTAATTGACATCCTATCTGATTGTTTCTTCATAGTCCATAGCCACCTTGTAGACCAGTAACATGACACCAATGATCATTTTAGCTGACTGTTAGGGGGGGGGGGGGGGCCTTCTCCAAAGGTTGATAGGATGTCAATTACCCACAGCTCAAGCAACTCTATATCAACCTTTGGAGAAGCCCCCCCCCCCCCCCGGCTCGTCCCTTACAGTCAACTAAAATGATCATTGGTGTCACGTTACTGGTCTACAAGGTGGCCATGGACTATGAAGACACCATCAGATAGGATGTCAATTACCCAGAGCTCAAGGAACTCCCTATCTGATGGTGTCTTCATAGTCCATGGCCACCTTGTAGACCAGTAACGTGCCAGCAATTATCATTTTAGTTAACTGTAAGGGAGGAGGTTTCTCCAAAGGTTGATATAGAGTTCCCTGAGCTGTGGGTAATTGACATCCTATCTGATGGCGTCTTCATAGTCCATTGCCACCTTGTAGGCCAGTAACGTGACAACAATGATCATTTTAGTAGATTGTAAGGGGGGGGGGGGGGGGGGGGGGGGGGGGTCATTCTCCAATGGGGTTCCTTGAAGTTTGGGTAACTGACATCCTATCTGATGGTGTTTTCATAGTCCATAGCCACTTTGAAGACCAATAATGTGACACCAATGATCATTTTAGTTGACAAAGGAGGGGGGCGGCAGCTTCTCCAAAGGTTGCCTAAACTTCAAGGAACCCCATTGGAGAATGCACCCCCCCTTACAATCAACTAAAATGAGCATTGGTGTCACGTACTGGCCTACAAGGTGGCCATGGACTATGAAGACACCATCAGCTAGGATGTCAATTACCCACAGCTCAAGGAACTCCCTATCTGATGGTGTCTTCATAGTCCACAGCCACCTTGTAGACCAGTAACGTGCCACCACTGATCATTGTAGTTGACTGTAAGGTGGGGGCATTCTTCACAGGTTGATAGGGAGTTCCTTGAGGTTTGGGTAATTGACATCCTATCAACCTCTGAAGAATGCCACCCCCCCCCTACAGTCAACGACAATCATCATTGGTGTCATGTTACTGGTCTACAAGGTGGCTATGGACTATGAAGACACTATCAGATAGGATGTCAGGGTGTTCCTTAAGTTGTGGGTAATTGACATCCTACCTGATGGAGTCTTCATAGTCCATAGCCACTTTGAAGACCAGTAACGTGACACCAATGATCATATTAGTTGACTGTAAGGGGGGGGGGGCGCATTCTCCAAAGGTTAATAGGGGTTCCTTCAGCTGTGGGTAATTGACATCCTATCTGATGGTGTCTTCATAGTCCATAGCCACCGTGTAGACCAGTAACATGACACCCATAATCATTTTAGTTGACTGGAAGGTTGGCATTCTCCAGAGGTTGATATTGTTTCCTTGGGCTTTGGGGTATTGGCCTCTAATCTGAAGGGGTCTTCATAATCCATAACCACTTTGTAGACCAGCAACATGACCACAATTATCTTTTTAACTATATCTCAGGGTAACATTCTGACAGGCACTGTAAGGGTGACTTGTTAGAGCTGGAGACCACACTGGACTGATGTGATTAGTCCCTGGTCGTTGGTGGTGACAACTTGGGACAGTAGGAAGAAAATCCCTTCCAGTGGTTTATGCCCAATTGGAGGCAGGCCCCATTTGGGGCTTGAGCTGCTTCCTTTGGGTACAGCCTTAAGGTCGTTTTCCATAGGTAGACTTGGAAAGGGTAGTAGAAAAAGGTACATCCATTGTCCAATAAGATGCAAGGTGTGGTAGAAGATATTTATTGAGAATAGCAGTAAATACTTCAAGCCCATGCATTTTGGGGGGAACAGGGACTCCCCCTTCTTCAGGGCTGTTGCTGCATGCTAATAGATAGGAAGGATTCCCAAACAGATAGGTCAATGGCAAGCAATCAGAGGGATGACTGTCAAAATGTTGCCTGGATGCTACCTCCGTAAAAAAACAGCTGACATTCTGGCAGCCATCGCTCTGATTGCTTGCCATTGACATACCCCTTAGGAAAATCCTTCCCACCTATTAGTTTGCAGCAAGTGCCCTGAAGAAGGGAGGAGTCCCCATTCCCTTGAAAACGCATTGACATGATGTACATATTGCTATCCTCTAAAACACCTTCCAAAAATTGCACCTTATTGGACACCAGGCACTCCTTTTCGAGTCACTCTAAGGGGCATTCTTCCCACCGACCCCCTTCACTCTTCAAAATCTTTCAATTATTTACTCTATGGAGAGGGGAGATACCACCATTTGTCTTTGTAAATGACAGTTGGCAAAGCTGGGAGTCCTCCTGAACGTTCCTCATTTGCTCTGAGGCCTCAAAATGAAACACATGTGGTTCAATGTGTAGCTGGAGGCATCCAAGATATGGTCCAGGTCTAGTGGAGGCCTAGAGGAACTTTTGTGCAGGCTT